CCCCCCCCCCATGTATATAATGTATATAATTTCCACTGGAAATTTCTATCTTTAAAAAGCCCTTCAACACGTATAAATTATACATGTCTTTATAATTTATGTGTGTTCAGTAATTAATTATTCAGTTCAATTCATCCAGGGAAAACAAAGGCAAACTTTTGTAATTTTCATCCAAATTCAACAAAAATTTGATCAACTTGTCTTTGGTCCATGGCCAGTAATTCACAGGTTTTGAGTTTCACACAATTAATGCATATAGTATTACACAATTGTCAATTGTAATCAAACCGAGATAAATTTAAAACATAACTTTCTAGTGGATATAAATATAGGCATGAATTGATGTTTGAACGAATATCCGAATTTTAAAAATTATTGCCACACACTTAAAAACACGTGGTCGTATTTTATGTAGTACAATATTTCATTCTGCCTTCACTCTTCGACTTGTTATTTGTATTTTATTCCAACTTTGTATTTTATTCCAACTTGCCGATGAAATTTTTATAAAATATTGCCATAAAATATATAACATTCTAAGACTAAGGCTATATATATATATATATATATATATATATATATATATATATATATATATATATATATATATATATATATATATATATATATATATATATATATTGATACTATTGATACTATAGTGCTGTTCCAACGTACGTACAATAATGTGAAAAAAAGAAAAGAAAAAAAGAGATGAAAAAGTTTTTTCATCAAGTGAGAAAAATTTCCGGAGAAACTTTCCAAAATTGTTGTCGCTCCAATATTGTTTAGGTCCATTTTTTTAAGTATTTTATAAAGCGTATGCTATGTATGTGCTAAGAAGCTAGTTTTGTTGGCATGTGGAAAGCAAAAGTAGCGAAGGTAAAGAGATTAAAATTGGATTTAGTGCGTATTTATGGGGACTACCAAATATGGTAGTCCCCCCCGTCGATGACACTTGTGACGTCAGGTACATACGGGACTTTGGGGGCGGGTTTTGGCGGGAAAATCTGTAATGTTTGGAGAAGACAAGATGGCGCTGGTTACCTCGTGTTATATCAAAGGGCATTTTTGTTCACAAATACCCGCTTATTTTACGTTATAGCGACTGGTTCGTTTTGGAAATTATAACTCAATGGACGGGGAAAATGATTCTGTATTAAAGAGAAAATGATGTGCAGTTATTGTGATGTTATTTGTTGTGAAAGACGGCCCGAAATTTCGCTTCTACGCAGTACTGGTTTATAAAACATTTACAAGCAACAGCAATTGAACTATACGACAAAGAAACCAATGTATACAAGCCAATCAAGTTCTTCAGTTTAAAGGTCTGTTTACTTTTTAATAATTAGTTCATTTAGTTGTACATTAATACGAAGTACTGGAACAGTACGCCTAGTCACAGAATAGGAAGGTATAACCTGAAGTTCAGGCCCTATCACAGAATAGGGCCTGACACAAAACCTATCTAAAGTGTGGGATTCCCGTCCACCTGGTGGACGGGAAATCTGATTGGTTGATCAGCATCATGAAGGATTTTGATTGTTTGCAAGTTCACATAAACAACAGTTTTAAAAATAGCTCGGTCAAGGCGAGAATTAATATAAAGGTCAAACGCACGTAACAAATTCCATTATCGATTTCTTCGAATTTCTTTTCTTTTATGCTTTATGGAAGAAAATAAATCAAACAAACAGTATTTTGAAAGGGCTTCATCAAAATCTTTGACGAATTTTGGACACACACGACACTGAAAGAACAGCCAAACTAGTCCTGTATTCGAAAGCTTGTTGTTGACAGCCAAGATGTTCTGCCAACTTGCTTCGCCGGCAAAAGTCTTATTTTTAATATCAGGTCCTACCGGCGTTGTTTTCTGAGCTACATCGCCTTCTTCGTGGTATGATTGAGAATTTAATTGTTGCTGTTATTAGCCTGTTAGTCGTTAGAGTATATCCGCGTCCAGCAAGTTGAGACCTTGAGAAAGCTTGGCAGCCAAGCCGTGCACAGAACTGACTAATTAAATCTTTGTTTGCTGTTCGCCTGTTCGGTTAAATAGAGAAACTGACTCTTAATTATATAAAAGTATCTTGAATTTTTAAGTTTAATTAAAAAGCAAAATGCTCTGCGGACATGTTCATGAGAATTGAGAATATAATTTTTTTGTGTAACGAAATCTACAACACTTGTCAATCATATTGCATGTGTGTCTAAAAATAACATGTGGGCGTCCCACGGTCTAGACAGGTTTTGTGTCAGGCCCTATTTCAAATTAGGGCCTGAACTTCAGGTTATAGGAAGGTATACCCATTGAACTAAAAATAACTGGAACGATACCTCCAGCCGGAAATGTGAAGCCATGCCCAGGCATGCCCACTGTTGTCATGCCCAGTCTTTTCACGTAACGGAAATGAACACGGGTTTTTTAAATTTCCAAAACTGGGTAAACTAAAACATGATTTAAAACGACGTAAAATGCACCTACCAGTACATTTTTTACAATAAAAACATCCTTCAAAACTCTAGAGTAAAATATTTTTAATTTATTTGTGTAGAATTCGTAATTAAATTTCCTTTTTTGAAAAAGAACGTTGAGCGAGGAGTGGAGCTTGCCGTAGTCTAATCATAAGTATTTGTGTGAATTTCCCTATTTTGCTCATTCGTTTTCCAATTTATTTGTCTGAAAGTTAGGAAAAAAGGTATTCTAACAAGATCAAACTACCAACCACAGTTTAATTATGTTTTGTAGTAGAGTATTTATTAAGAGTGAATGTCAGTAAAAATCGAACATATGAGATATTTCGCGGCCACGACTGAAAAATCGATTGTGCTCAAATTTTGCCCAGATATACCTTATTATATCGGAAAATGCACCATATATTTTTTTAGGCCAAATGCTTTTTTAACTTTGAGAAAATGCCGTTTTAACACGACCACCCTAAATTGCCATTTTGTCTGGGAAAATATGCGCTGATTTTACCGACAAATTTCACGACGACAACCGTTTATAATCGATCTAAAACCCTAAAAATCTTGTTTTCGGTTATTCAAAGGACCGGGTACGTGACTTACAAGAAATCTGAGTTACTTTTAGGAATAGAAATAATCGTAGTTTTGGAGCACACTATCTTACTTCATTTACGATACCCTCTTAACAAAACCGATTTTCACTATGGGATAAAGCTCCAAATCGATCATGCTTCTACTAGTTGGCTCTTTAATAAACAAGCTTTCAATTGACGTAAATACTTCTTTGGGCAAATGAATACGCGATAAACGACAGCGCGCTGAAATTGTCCGTTTTTGACGTCTTACATACCGTCGAAGTAAACAATTTTATCAAGTATTCTAAGTATTTTAGGGACGGACCATTTGATTTTTCATGGAGGGGGGGGGGCGCATTTTTGAGAATGCTCGATTTTTTTTTTGGACCTCACCGACTCCGCACGATTTTTTTTTATCGAATCTTGCCGCGTGCACGATATTTTTTTAAATTTTTACTATAGCGTTAATACAATAATAACCACGTATGGTTATATTCCGGTTGAAGAATGTATTTGAATATACAGCATATAACGACAAAATAGGAAAGTATAGCAGAAGTGTAACCCACGAAAATTTTAACTCGCTCACGCCATCCTGGCTAGTACAGCCGGAAGTTTTTATCAGGTTTTGATAGGTACAAAGTGCCGGTTGTACTAGCCAGGATGGCGTGATTGATGATCGGACTAATTGCTTGTAAAAACGCGGACAAATACTTGCTTGAGTGAGACTTCTGGTATACCTTCCTATTCTATGATATAACTATCACAGCCCATTTTATACTTGGCCAATTTTATACTTGGCCCATTTTATACAGGGCTATGGTCTACGAAATGTAGACCATAGTCCCAATCAAAATTGGATCAAGTGTATTAAAGTGTGTAACCCATTTTGCAATGGCGTAATGGCATCTATATACAAATTCTCACGGTTCCCAATCGTATCAGTGTTCCCAATACGTATTATAAACTGCGATATTTATTCAGAATCAGAGAGCGATATTAATGAGCCGGGTGGGAAAGGGTATTTTTGTGACCCGTGAATGCAGTGGCGTAGCCAGACTATAATTTTTGGGAGGGCATATATCGAACGCCGAAGGCGTAAGGCTTTTTAGCGGGGTCCGGGGGCATTCTCCCCCGGGAAAATTTTGAAATCTGGAGTCCCTCAATGGCGATTTCCCGTGTTTCTGGGGAGAGATTTTGCATAATTCTGAAGATTATTTACTGCAGGAAAGACCTGATTTTTAATGATTTCTCAATAATGTGGATCCTTAATTTGACTCAACGAAGCTTACTTGGTCGCGTGTGAATAGTTAAATCGAAGTTTTAAAACTCATTTTAACCAATAACCACCATAGGCATTATTTTCTGTAGTTAGATTTAGGAAAGATTAGAACTTTTATGGACAATTTGGTGAACAGATGAGATTGGTAGTCACATGGGTAGTCATCGTCCCCCCCCCTAATTTCTACCCGGATTTCATCTTTTTACAAGGGCAGTCCATCAGCCTATTAGGGCGGGGCTGAGCTCCCCCCCCCCCTTGTCTACTCCACTGCGTGAATGGTCAATATTTGATTGTGTGAAATGCTTGATTTTACTGTCATGATCTGTGATTTGTTCTACAGCCATGAGGCGTGATTGTCGATCAAAAAATGCTCCGTGAAATGGGAATTAAGGATGTCTATTTCGTGAACTGTGATTTTGATTTGTTTATTCCGATCTATTT